ATATAAACAAAAATACACATTCGGATTATTAACCTAACGTGTTCTTTCCTATTTTTTTTTATTTTTCTATATATTTGCACACACGCACACACATCTATCTATCTATATATATACATATATATATATATATATATAATAATTCATCGTGTCTAGAAGAATCCTCAACAGAATGCAGAAATCACTGAACGGCCGTTTCGTCCGATTTGGGGAGTCATCAGCAGGGTGAGAATCGAACCCTGACCGTTACGATACAATGCAAGCATCATACCACCGGACCAAAGAATCCTCGGAGACGAAGAGGTAACTAATTAGACTCGATATAGCGTCGCTATTCATTAATTTCCATGGTGTAACTCATCCAAGTATACTTAACCCAAAGGATTATGCCCCCAATGCCACGTCTTTTTTCCCCAAGTTGTTTCCTCCAGAGCATTAGAAGCTGGATCAAGCAAAGATATAAAAGTGATAGAAATTTATTGTTGTAATCACGTGATCGAAATTTGAACTTCATCGCGCTAATTTTCTTGCTGTTGCTATTACAGTGTAAACATGGCCGCTCCGCTAGCAGTGTACACCAAGGAGGAACAAAGAGATGTTATCCGAATCTGCAGAGAACATGCTACCTAGCAGGCTTTCCATTACTATCTCTCGAGCGCGCTGAATCTTCTCGTCATTGGTTAGGTGTTCACGGGCGTCATTCTACTTCTTCATGGGTCACGCTTTTAAACTTCTCTCTCCGATCATACACACTTCTGCCTGTAGTTCACTGTCGCCGTATTGTGTTAAAAGCCTCCGATATATTTCATCCCCTAACCCACCGTCCGACACTTGAGGTAGGGCTTACACAGTAAGAAGCATCATCCCAAGCAAGCTGATAATGCCGCCAAGAAGCAAGAGGGTACCTGTAGTGAAAGAGAAGGAATAGATTCTAGACAGAATCGGGAATCCAACCCTAAACAAGGGATAAACCTCCACTCCTGTTCAAAAAACCGTGGAGAAATGTGAACCGGACAATAGGACAATATCTATTGCTATTGAAATGTAAATAAATAGTAAATAAAAGTTTTAGGTGAAGATCTTAGAAGTATAAAGTTGAAGTAGACTTTAGAAGGAACCAGAAACCCAATCCTAAAGAGGAAACAAGCGATAAACCTCGACTCCTCTCCAGTGATTATTATTAATATAGTATATAGACATTCCACATTTTTAATTTTATCTACAGGCCCCTTTAACATTCGGCAATTAGTTGGAGATTCGTCTCCAGCTGTGCTGGTCAAATTCTCTGCCTTCGAGGAACCCAGACGAGGCTATGCCGAAGGGCAGAGTCTCGTCTCGGGTGGTAGACAGCTACCCGAACCCGTTTTTTTACGGGGTCTACGGGGAATTTTTTCCCCGAGCCTGCAAACTCGGTTTTTCCTCCCGCATTAAAAAAACGGCCTTGTGCCACTTCCCACCTCGCGGGGAGGCAAGGTAAATAACCTTCCCAAATATAAATAAAAAAAAATTCTGTCAACTTTACGTCTGATTAAATTACCCTTCCCTTCAACAAAGTAAACATGTCATTTTTGTCTACAATCATGATACATTTGTCGGTGGCTTATTTTCTGCATTCGTCAATGATGACATGTCTATGCACTGGTTTATCGTGACATGAAAAAATAACTCACCTACCTCCACCCTCTCAGCTTACTTTCCTATTTAGCGTAGATCTGACATTTAATTGGTTAATCCAGACATACCCACAATTTTATTTTTTAATTCTGACCTTATGTCCCCGTCTCTTTAACTTTCTGAAAAGAGGTAACACTTTGATTGTAAATTTCCTTAAAATCATTTAATCACCAATTACTTACCATCGCCTGAAGAAGGACAATCATAGTATTGAAACATGAAAGCTTTTGCGTAGCGATTTCAAAATGTATTATTATAATCTCTTATAATATATAGGTTTAAACACCGGTCCTGTCCGGTCACCGAAGTTAAGTGACGTCGAACCTGGTCAGTAGCTAGATGGGTGACCGTTTGGTAATACTAGGTGCTGTAACCTTGGATGCGTAGATGGTGTAATAGATAATGACTAGGAGGTGTTAATCGGAGAGCCGAATTCTTGTACAATCACTGAAGTTAAGCAACGTCGAGCTTGGTCAGTACTTAGATGGGTGACCGTTTGGGAATTCCAGGTGCTGTAAGCTTGGATGTGTACCTGGTGTAATAGATAATGACTAGGAAGTTTTTATCGGGGAACCGAATTCTCGTTACGATCACTGAAGTTAAGCAACGTCGAGCCTGGTCAGTAGCTAGGTGGGTGACCGTTTGGGAATTCCAGGTGCTGTAACCTTGGATGCGTACCTGGTGTAATGGATAATGACTAGGAAGTGTTAATCGGAGAACCGAATTCTCGTACGGTCACTGAAGGTAAGCAATGTCGAGCCTGATCAGTAGCTAGGTGGGTGACTGTTTGGGAATACCAGGTGATGTAAACCTGGATTTTCGGGTGGTATAATGGATCGAAATTGTTAATCGTAAAGCCGAATTCTTATTGTCTTTGGGTTCTTTATATTCATTTACACTCCAATACTCTTGGGAGAGGTATGAATCCACAACTTCGCCCCAAGCTATGGGTTAATTAGTAAGACTTTTATCACTAAACCATTAATATTTCCAAAAAATAAAATTAAAATTTGCTGAGAAAATATTTAGATTTCTGCATTAAAAAACCCATAGAGGTCGATATGCCGGTAAAGAAGGAAATCCAGCATACCTTCAACAACTAGACCCTTGGAAAATAAAATCAAATCCAAAAATATTCTATGAAAATATAATTTATTTCTGTTAAAATATCTCTACTGAGCCAACGCCCACAGAGCGATGAATTGGCCAAGACCGTCAAATAAAAAAAAACCTTTGTCCATTGCGATGGGATCGAGTGAAAGGATAGAATATTCGTTTTGTGGCGGCTTTATGTTATTGACAACAAGTTGTTTCTCTGATATTTTTAGCTTTCAAGAAATCATTTCGAACGTATCAAATTCCTCATACCAACCACGATTGCTGAACACGAATGCCTTCTTGATTTTGTCCCTTCTCCAAGATAAAACACGAACACTCACACCTCAAGCACTGGTCTAATCTAAACCACAGTTAGTAGACTGATTACGCGCATTTTTTTTTTGTTTATTCTTGGGAAAGAATAAGAGGTCGTTAGTATGAATGTCGTAGTCTTTTAATTCGAATGTTTTGAATTCAAGAGCCACTCCGAGAAATTCGTGAAAGAATAAACCGTTGAAGGTGTTAGCATGATTAAAAGTTTTATTTGCTTACATAACATGAAATTTCCGTTAGTAACGCGTGGCGTTTAAAACACCTCCGAAAAATGCTTTGCTGGTGTCAAGTCAAATTTCCATAATTAATCAAGTAAGTATCTGAATTCTTCTGTCAAATAGATACAAGGAATTTCTGGTTTTAGTCATAAAATTTACGGGGAATGACAAGCAGTTTTATTTATCTAAGTGTCATAAATTATCCCTTAGTAGCGATGGCATGATTTTCTTTTCAGATATTGAGACACACTTTTTAAATAGGTTTAATTATTTAACGAGAAGTAAAGAATATAACTTAAAGTGTTTAGTTTCGTAGAGAACTTGTAATTTTCTATCAATTGAGCTTTTTTTTAATTCGGTGTGTCTCTTTTCACTTTATTTACCCAGTCCTGGGTATGACGATAAACTACATACGGCGGCAAGGCCTCTGATCGGGAGATTGAAGCTTCTGAGGAGCGTGGTATCACCTCTTACCTACTGTTGTTCCCAGGTTCACTCTGACCCGGTGTAGTAGCATCTGTTAGGGACCCAGCTATGGGCAAATCGTTAACCCCAAAACAATATGAAAGTAAAAAAAAAATACCTTTTTATAGCAAAATGATCAGCAATACATTTTTATAGTAAAATGAGCAACAATACATTTTATCTTTAGTTGATTGCATACTATAGTGGTTGATATGCCGCTAAAAGAAATCAACCAAACTTTATTTATCCGATTAAACACAAAGAACAAAAGATGAAATATAACAAGAAAAAATAAGATTTAATTGATATATTTATAATATTTTAAATTGGGGTTTTGAAAACACCACGATATTAATGTTGTGGCAGTGTCCCACGGTAATAATGGAGTGTTAAAACTGGTCTTCAGAAAAGGAAAACTCCGAATACACATCAATCTGGAGAGGTTTAGGCTCAGTCAGTCTAGCTTGCGCTAAGCGCAACACCATTTCTATGGCTGAAGTACATACGTTGCCCCTAAAATCCCAAGGGGTTACCGGACTCGTGATCATTATATAGTCTGCCGTACCACAGAAGGCCGAATTAGAGATGTACAACTGTAATGGATAGCGTCTCGGATTGAAGAATCGGAGAGCCGAGTTCGAATTCCAGTCGAATCCATTGCATTCACTTACGCGGTAATACCCTTGGGAGAGATATGAATCCTCATCTTCTTCCCCGCCCAACTATGGGTAAATAGAAGGACAGACCGGGTTCTATAGCTTTCGATGGCAACTGGTCTACCGCAGAAAGAAATGGCAATCTACTGCGGGAAAAATCTGCCTTGTCAGTCATATATTGAAATATACATGATCGCCTAATCGTGTATCACGCATGGCATATAACTGACTGAAAATAATCATAATTAATACTACTGATGTTTCATAACTGTCAAGAGATCATTTCTGTGTCTATAGGACACGTGTACTGTGAATGCAGTCTGGTTGCCTCTATTAACATTATAATGCATCGATCTTGTAAAATATTTGTACAATGTGGCCGTTTAGAACCCGGTCTAAATGTCTAAGAATATTTATTTGATCACTGTGGCCAACATCGAAGTACTGCCGACTGGTTACGTTTAACATGCGCAGTCGTTTCCCGAAAGGATAATCCAGCCTATCTTAGGCCTATAATCCAACTCCATTTAAACGGCTTTAATGGAAGAAAAGAGGCATTTAAATAGCTTTGAGAAATACCTATCAATTATAGTCTCACTTATCGCTGCTACTTTGTTTCTCTTCATCTCGACCAATGCAAGTAAACGATTCTTAACTGTCCGAGTTGGTACCCAACCAATCAAATGTTCTGATATGTGCTACAAAATCCGAGCAGTCTGCCACTGCTTACTTTACACTGCTCCCATCTTGTTTGTATTACATGTGCCTCAAGAACCCAGTCTACTGGTGTTAAATTGGGGTACCTTGGCGAGGTGTAATGGTTAGCTAGCTTGTCTCGCTAGATCACTTACGACTGAAAAGTGAGTTTGATCCCAACTAGCTGCCTCATACTCTCGACCTTGAGCCACATCTAAGCTACGCTTAGAAAATAACTATCAAGGTACCACGACGTGGTGTAATGGTTAACAAGCTTGTCTCGCCAGAACCATGAATAGTGAGTTCAATCCTCACTGGGAGCCCCATGCTTTCGGACATCTAAGCAGCGCTTAGAAAATCTTAGGGCACCTCGAGGCGGTGTGATGGTTAGCAAGCTTGTCTCGCTAGAACAATTACTACTGTGTAGCGAGTTCGATAATCACTCGGTGCCCCATTCTTTCGGCCTTGTGCCACATCTAAGGTACGCTTGGAAAATATCTACTGGTGTTAGAATGTTCATCTGACTGCTGTTGCTAACATCGAAGCGTTCAACATACGCACTAGTTCTACCAAATGAGCATAGAGCCTCGTAAACGAATCTAATCGATGAAAAAGAGGATGCTTGCATCTCTATGGCATCGTATCTGTTTTGTACAGGACTATATATTAATTATCTGCAAATCTCGCTATCTTTGAAATCAATTAATCACACACATATCTGAATGTATCGATTTAACTGGACAGTTTCTTTTTTGTCGAATCTTTTGTATCTAACTTGAAGGAAAATTTGAAACGTTGGTTCTCGATCGGCCTGTACCTGTACATATAAATATATTTCATTCTTTTTTTTTTCTATCATTCTAGCTTGTGAAACTCTCTTTCGGCTTTTTGCTTCCCAGTCAACTTCGATCTCTAAAAATTTAAATGCAATGTCAATAGTTATCTATTGGCTCCTAAATTCTTGATCCTTTAATTTTATCTCTCCTTAGTGTTTTTTAATCATATTCTATAACTCTCAGTAACCTCTTGCGTATTAGGGGCTTTATTGCCTTGGAATGAATTTAAAAGAAAAAGAACATCAAAAAACACGTTCAGAATTGGTTAAAATATTGGGTTGGTGCAGAATTACCAGGCGTTTTTAAATAATATTTATAATAAAAAAAAAAGAAACATAATTCAACAAATAACATTTTTAAATGATTATGCCGGAGTGTAGTCACCATCTACTTGATTTTTATAACCTGAAAATTTTTTATTAAAAAAAGTTATACAAAAGAGGTAATTTTTATTAACAAATAACTCGCCTACAAAAACGCCTGATAATTATGCACCAACCTAATATAAAGAGCATACAACCCTTTTGAAAAAGATACTCGTTCATCAGATCTATAGACGGGCGCTACAAGATCGCAAAGAGCCAAATAACAAAAAACCACCACACTTAAACAAATACAGTAGCAGTAACGACAGAAATAGGTAGTATATGAAACTAGATGAAAAATAATGATATAAACAGGTTGTTAACTTTCCACACTCCTAATGAGAACGGATTTTGAAGGAAAATCCTATCAGTACTAGAAAGAGTGATGACAGTTAATGGACTTGAGAAGCCTACTTCAAAGACAACAATCTTTGTAAATTTCAACCGACAGCAACCTTTAACCCTACAACACTAACCATCAGTTAAAGTTACACCACTACTAACCATGGGTATATCATACCCGATTTTGAAAATATCAAAAAAAAAAAAAATAATTAAATATAAATCTTTATTTGAAATATTTTACATGAAGACACTTCAAATTTGTTAACGTTAATAGGAACTGAAAAACATATTTAGGTAAGAAAATCAGGTACTGAAAATTGTAATTAAAAATAGGAAAATTTGCGCTGGGTACTATATATCCATGGTTATTCTAGGGTTGACTTAATGCTTCCTGCGTGGTAATGGCTCAGTTCACCATTGCCAACGGCATTACCACTGCCATTATTCGGTGGTCCGAAAGTCTTGTCACCCCTAGTCAAAAAGTAATGAGAACAATAGAAGAATATGTACTGGATTCATTTTATTCGCACGATCATGTCCATACACTTTCAAGCAGCCTCTCTTCCCAACTGTAGGGGCTCGTGTCAGTCATCTGAAACAGAAAATTATATTATCTCGGTTTGACAATACTTTCGGATCTCCCTGTACAACAAATCTTTAGAACCAACTGCTAGATCTTTGCTATGTTTATCTTATCGTCTCGGCTGCGGTATTCTACAACCGTCCTATGGCGTATCTTGTATCCGGCAGCATTCTAAGTACGTAGAACAAAACAAAATGAATTCATGAATCTGATTTCTCAGTTTTTACTTATCTTGTCTGATATCCTAAATAATTTTAATAACTGCCAGTTCTATATATCTCTCTATCGCTTTATCTCTTCTGTAAACTAGACAATGCCGTGTCTCAATGCAAGAAATTACAATCGTCAGTAAATCCTCAGTCCATTGTATTCCCAGCATCCTTCTGTAGAACCGCATTTCTGTTGCTTCAATTTTTTCTTTAGCAGTAAAGAAGATTCTAGAGCATTCACCGCTATATAGCACTCCTTGCTTTGTTTCTAACAAAATTTTCCTGTTTCTTAATACTTTGCTTAACTTTTGGAAGTCATTTTCGCTATCCTAATGGCCCTTCGGATTTCAGTGTCACACTTTCCGTCCACTGTTAAAATACTTCGCGGATATTTAAATAAATTTATATTTATTGTACTTGCTTGATTTTTGCATCTACAATTTGTAATTTGCATGTGCGTCTGAGAAAACCACATTTTATCTTCTTGCAATTGATATTTTGTCCTTTCTTCTCGCTTTCCTCCACCACCTTTTGTGGAAGTTTTTGCAGTTTCTTTTATGTGCCTGATATCAATACGGTGTCATTTGTATATATTATAGTGTTTAGATTGTGGCATCTAATAATAAATCCTCTTCAGACTTCTAATTCTCTCATAATCGCTTCACAGTATATGTTGAATAAGTCCGGTGAGACGACACACCATTGTCTTACAGTTTTTTTTTTGTATATTTTATATTATATTTTTTATCTGTATGCAGAAGATTTTCTTTCAGTATATGCTCTGGATTATTCTAATATCCTTACTAAATATGCATGTTTCCCTAGCGGTCACAACAGTTTTTTTGTGACGTAATTTATCAAATGCTTCTGTTTAATCTATAAAACATAGGTATAGATCTTTTTACATTTATATTGCTCTTTCTTATCATTCTGAACATAAATATCGCATTCATTGTCGCTTTTGTTCTATTTCCGGTCTAATTCTGCTGCGTGCTCTATTTGCTGGAACTTGGATGATAAATTTTGTTATAGAGCTCATTCGGATGATTTTCCGATGGCGTGCACTTGGCTTCTTTGGCAGTGCTATGAAAATGGATCTATTTAGGTCTTCCGGTATCTCACCACTGTCATATGTTTCATTTATTATGTCTGTAATCTCGTCAGTAACGTAATCGTCTAAGGCTATTAACATCTCTATTATAATCTCCTTTTGTTCTGCTGCTTTGTTTCTGTTCAATTTGAACAGTGCTGATTTTACCTCAGATTTAAATAGTTATGGTCCTTCGATATTTCTGTGGATTGCCGGTTGTTGAAGATGTATTAATTTCATTTCGGAAGTATTTTTCTTTCTCTAATATCAGTGTTCTGTTCTTAGATTCTATGCATCCTATTGATGGGAGTGTCTTTTGCCCCCTTAATTCTCTTATTTTATACATATCTGCCTGATTTGTGATATTCATTCTTTCTATTTCTTCACATTTGTCGCTGAGTCATTCCTTTTTAACCCGACTGCATTTGTTCCTAATTACTTTGTGTACAATCCTACATTCTGTGCCCTACCTTGGCATTGTTTTTTGTCCCTTTTCATCATGTCGAGAATTCCATCTGTGATCTTTTCCTTTTTTTTTTTCTTCATCTAGTTTTCTTTGGGAGGATCTCGGTTGCTGATGTTACTTCTCTTAATTTGCCCGATGTCGATTCTCATTTTGTTCATTGTATCTGATTTTTAATGCTTTTCATATATTTTTTCTTTGCTCTCGGGTCATTCCTTCGTATTGCAAATTTAGTTCTGGCTTATCCATTTTCAATTACCGTAGTTTCACTATCTTTTACATATCACTGGAAGGTGGTGGCTTCCGCAGTCGGCACTTGAATATATTTTGCTGTACACAGTTACATTCCTGAATCTCTTAATTATATAGTCAACTTGTTTTTTGTTTCTCTTCCTGGGCTTCTCTATATCTATATACGTAATGTGTAGGGACCTCGGTGTAGTGTAATGGTTAGCAAGTTTGTCTTGCTAGAACAATTATGCCTAAGTAGTGAGTTGTAGCCTCACTGGGTACCTAATGCTTCTGGCTTGTGCCATATCTAAGCTACACATAAAAAATCACCATGTACGTGTTCTTGAGACCAGGTGTTGGTTATTATCTGATCATTCTCCATGAAGCATTGAATCCAATTTTCCCTTTTTTTCTCATTACAAGTTCCGAGTCAAAATTTGCCAATTATTTTACCATCTCTCACAATCACCTCACTGTATAGGCAAGTCCATTGAGAAGAAACATCCTGGTATTACATACCTTTCTAATTCTGTATTTTTACTGAATTCATTTTTAACATTTCACTAAATATACATTTTACGGACTGGTCATATATTACAGATTATTGGTGTTTTTCGACATCACTAGGCTTTGGGTTTGGAAATCATTTGGAAAACGTAAATTTGAATTAGGATCTTCAATGCTGGCTAATCCTAGACGGAAGACTGACCCAATAAAAACTTCCTCATAAATATTTGTATGTAATTTAAGTATTTTCGCATTAAACTTTACCAAATGACGATTATTCTGTAGAGGCTCTGGTGATACCATATGAATCATCCAAGATGTTTACACACCCGAGATGTAAAAAGAGAGATACCATGTAAGACCAAAATGCAACAATTGTAATTGCACATAATACTGTCATTTATTTATGACGTTAATAGACATATATTTCCAAAGACTTAATGGAATTACAACCCACCAAACCCACAGATGCTCATTGTTACTTATAGTTTAGCAATTGCCACACCCTAGTAGCGAAAAAGAAATCGATAATTTATCACCAGGGTTTACACGTAAAACATATATTATGACCCGGGGACTTCAGAAAAACACATAGGGCATATTTTCAATAGAAATTCTCCGAACAAACAAATAATAAATCATTCACTCTGGTTTGTCTAATGGTTTTATATTATTATTATTATTATTATTATTATTATTATTATTATTATTATTTCCTTTGATTTCTGGTGTGTACTCATTTCTTTCCGAGTCCCGCCCAGGGGCCTGAGATCAGAAATGTCATCATGACATTTTCCACGGAGCAATTAAAAAAAAATACACGTTTTACATAGACAAAGCCCTTGGTAAGGTGCGGGCTCGACTCGTGAGAACAATTTGTTTTTTATTTCTTTAAGGCATGAACTTCCAGGAATCCCTTCACTGATTCTACTGGAATCTTTTCCAAATTATACGAGGGCTCCAACTACAACAGGGATTGTTGATGTTCCCATGTGGCACATTTTGAGATTTCTATTTCAATGTCCTTGTATTTTGATAGCTTTTTGAATATCTTCAAAGATACATTGCAGACTGCAGGGGCTGCCATATCAATAAGGAGGCACCTTTTTTGTTTGCGATCTCTAATAACAATGCCTGGGCTGTTGGCATTGATTGTTCTGTCAGTGTGTATTGTGTAGTCCCATAGAATTGTAACAGGTCCTATCTCCGTAACCGGGTCTGGGTGGTGTTGATACCAGTTTCTTTCAGTTTCCTTCCCGTAGAAGTTGCATATTTTCCAGTGCAGATATTAACCCACTCTGTTGTGCCGGGTTTTATGCTCAGTGGGTGCCAATATTGTGCAACCTGATACAAGATGATCAATCGTATCTGGATATTTATCACAGAATCTGCATTTTGGGCTAACACAATATTTTAGTATATGTGCTTGATAATTTCTAGTTAACATGCATTGATTCTGTGCAGCAACGGTAAAACCTTCGATTTCAGCTTTTAAACCTGCACTATGAAACCACTGATAGTTAGGGGTTTGCATACATCAGCTTGTTAGGTATATATATATATATATATATATAGCTGGCACTCATATTCGAGGATACCTGTTTACTACAGCGGCTAGTCAATCTATTGCAGACGCTTGATGGGTAGTTCTTAGTGTGTTGTATTTCTCTTAAGCTGGAATTTCCTGTTTTTTTCAAATGAGCGTGCCTTTATTATTATTATTATTCAGTATTTTTTCCAATTTGTTATACTATTTTTCTAAACACACACACACAAACACACATATACATATATACATAGTACAGGTAATAGATCCGTTGGTATATAATCCAGGTGGATCCTAGTAATATCAAATATTAAAACTTATCCACAGAAAGATCACTGCGTTTATTATAACAGAGCATCTATATTTTTTTTACAGCAAAAACAAAATGACCTCACATGGGTATAGTCTATTTCAAGCTGGTCGTCTCCAGCCCTTATTCCAGACACACACTTAAGGGCTGAAGACGGTTGGAGTCGGACCAGACTGAAATCGACTATACTATGTTACGTAACTTTTTTTTGCTCTCTAACATATATATATATATATATATATATATATATATATATATATATATATATATATATCGAGTGTATCATGCAATAGCAAATTGTCCATTTGTTAGATGAAGCTCTGAATAGTTGTATCTTAAGCATGATTAAATATTTATTACTGGAATTCTCCGAGGCTTTATAACACTATTGGACACTTCTTTGAGTAATAACAATGTATAATTACTCTCCAAGCTTAACGTAAATATCGTAATGAAATCGATCATAAATGAAAATGACATGTACATCTTTAAATAATCATAGCAACGGATCAGAAGCTTATGGAGGACAGAAATAAAATTCAAAGATATATAATATATATATATATATATATATATATATATATATATATATATATATATTATTCCAGGATCATTTTCCAGCATATTCTAGATGCTCTCCGCTCTCTCTAACCTTCTATCTTTCTGTCCTAGAGTAAAAAAAAGATTTATTTTCAATTCTTTTTTCTCAGCTCTTTCAACTGTCATAGCAGAAACTTTTCTCTCACGTGCTAAATGTCTTATGAATTGAGTTGGATCTTTTCTTATTGATTTCATAATTCTAAGTTGAAATGATGATCCTTCTTCTCTTCCTGTTGTAACCTATGAGCTCTAAGGGTAAAAGGTAAGAAGCGCGGTTTATGAGGCTCTGTGGAAAAGATAAAGGCTAACCTAGACTTGAGGAACTTAGAATTTTAGTGCTCGGTAAAGTATCCTCTTGGGAATCGATTCAGGAAATAAGTGATTCGACTGCGTATACTGTGTTGCATGACCAAAAGTCTAAAGGTTGTCCATTTTCTTGCTTTCGACCAGAGGTTTCTGCCATTTTTTTTATTTCCTTCTAAACCGAGGTAGCTTCTTTTATTGCTATGCCCCTTATCCCTTCAGGACTTTGGCAAACATCGTTCCTCACAATTTTTTGTCCTTTGTAGCTCTTAACAAATAATGCCTTTTTGTTATCTCTATTAAACCTTGGTCTGGTATCCATTTAATCAAGCTCAATTGATAGTGCATGCGTTGTTTTCCTCTGTGCCGCTTGCCTTCAACCGGTCCTGTGACTATCAGATTTTTCAACCGTCTTTCCTCTTTAAGTACGTCTGACATTTCAATTGTCTCTTCTTGATGTTAAGCAAAAATGCCATCTTTTTATCCACTTTCTATAAAACTTCATCGCTGTTCAGTCCAAGGTATCCTTAGTTTCCCCCTGTGGAACCATATTTCTGCTGCTTCAATATCTTCTTCATCTGACGGGATTGTTCAGCACATTTCTCCATACCGGGAGACTGATATTACGTAACAGGTCAGTAGCCTTTTCTTTGTTTCTAACGAAATTTTCCTGATTCTTAATACTTTACTTAACTTTTAGAAGGCATCTTTCCAATTGCGCCTTGGGATTTCTTAATATTCTACTTAGCTTTGCTTAAAACTAGAAAACTGGAATTAGTTTGTCAACAAGTTTATTACCTTTTGGAAGGCATCTTTCGTTATTTCAATTGCACCTTGGGAATTCTTAATATTCTTTGCTTAAAACTAAGAAAATTAAATAACTGACGATCTACAGAATGAATCATTTAAGCCTAAATTCTTTGTCAGCTACGGAATACGTTTTGCTCTTCTCCCTGAAATTCCAAATTACCCCTGAAAATATTCACATGCGGGCCGTGCGCTCCATTTTCAGAATTTTCCTTCATCGATTGGCAGCTGTAATAGCTCCAATTCAAAAGTGGTATTTGGAATCACCATTGTCTCTAAGAAATGTTTCACAAGTACGAGTAGCAGCAAGCAACATTCCAAGATTTGATTGCAAATAAGTCGAAAAATACACAGAAACATAATTAAATAATTAATATACATAAATATAATTAACTTTTAACTTCTTTTATTTGTTGTACCTGAGTTATCAAATACAACAGTAGAAAACTGAAATTAGTTTATCAACAAGTTTATTACCTTTTGGTACATGGAAACATAATCTTACTTATTATAAAACGCAGATTGTGTGTGTGTGTGTGTGTCTGTACGTTTATATATTGATCGGATTTCCTACATTTTTCAACCGACTTCAACAAAACTTCACAGGACTGCCTAAAATTACCTTGTAGTGGTTCTGACAGCGCCAAAAATTGGAAAAACACAATTGTTTTAGCACGAAATCAATTTTAAAACACGATTCTGTCGCCAGAATGAAAGGGGGACAACTCATATCGAGTTATACTTATTATAAAACCCAGGTTGTTTGTTTGTGTGTGTGTGTGTGTGTGTGTGTGTGTGTATGTGTGTGTTCGTTCATTTATATATGGGATCGGATTTCCTACATTTTTCAACCGATTTCAACAAAACTTCACTTTTTTGGGGGCAGGTAGTGTTTCTTATTGTCTTGCACACTTTTTTTAATTTTTACATTCAGAATGCTTTAAAAATTGTTTATAATAAAATTCTATTCAATCGATAGACTCATAACAAGTGAAAACAATGTTTTTGTTTGAGTTTGGGTTTGACCAATTCGTAAAAAAAAAAAAAAAAAAAACTAATTAAGACATGCGTGTCCGTCAACCTTAAACAATAATCTTTGTCAATTTTATTTTTCAGTCTTTATGATGGTCGATACTTGATCTATCTCTTACTGTTACATCCCCGGGCAACGCCGGGCTCTACTGCTGGTGTAGAATAGAAATTAGGGAAGAGATTGTTTAGTCGTGAATGAGTGTTTTCAGAAAAATCTACAGCTCCTGCTGCTACTCCTCTTGATGTGGGAGTATTTTCATGTCTTTCGTCCGACGGCCGTGTCCAAACTTGTAGGGAAATATTTTCCATCACAATATTATTCATACTGTTTTATTCATACTGTCAAAAAAGCAGATGTATCTAATATTTTACATTTTGTAACGGCATTGTCCTTTTAATTTTTTAAATGTCATTTTATTATTATTAGGGATTTGCTATAAATAATTAGGCAAAGTAATGGAGCAGTATTCTTGTATTATTTTTCATACACTGGTTACCACCTAAGGCTGGAGAATCCAGTCTACCCTGTTATATAACCTATAACTGATGTCACATTTGTTTTTAATGTTGTTCCCCTTCAAAAGGCAGGCTACATGACATTCTACAGATTTTTAATTTTAGCCGTGAATTGCAATGAATTATTGGGAACAATAGCAGAGTGTTTTCCAATGGGATTTTTCTCATAGACAGGTTACCAATCAAATCTATAGAACCCAGTCTTCCCTGTTATTTAACCTATAGTTAGGGTTACATTTTGATTCTCTACAGATTATTCTTTATTATCTGTACGTTGCCATGCATTCTTGAGACAGTGGAGCGATTTCTTATTGCCTCCTCTTTTAATATCTGCCACCAAAGACTAATGAACATAATCGACCCATCTATTTTTAGTCCTAACTGGGAAGCGATTAATCATTTTTAATTTGCAACGGCTCAGAGCTTAATTAACAACTGAACAATTTTGCTGTCAGACAATTTGGACAATATATATATATATATATATATATAATGATTATTTAAAAAAAAAATGATTCCATCACGACACAGAAATTACTATGTTTTGAAACTTGACTCAAGTCCTAAAGTTTAATTTCAATATTAAACTTAAAATTTAGAGTACAGTTTCATTCTTAAGCGATGTTTAGAATAACTAACGGAAGACATGTTTTGCTGATTTGTAGCTTGTAAATGTAGGTTAATCTGGTTTTATTTCTTTCGTTATCAAGGGGTTACTATTATTACATCAATGAACATACACACACACACACACACACAAACACAAACACACACACACACACACACACATATATATATATATATATATATATATATATATATATATATATAAAAAAATCCAAGAAAGAATCTGCTATGTTATCGGTCCTAATATGGTATCTCAGCTTCAGTACCTTCCCACCGTCATAACATAACTTCCCTTCCTTTTCTATATATATTTCCATGATTTCGTAGACAATACGAATTTAAACGGAATACTAGATTGACAGTTAGGTCTCATCATTTTCCAGTTGAAATAGCTAGATATAACCGCATGATCTATGCCAACAGTTTCTGAAACTTTCTTGATTCCCAGGTAAATTCTATCCTGGGCTACTTCAAATTATACAAAATGTATTTACCTATTTACTTACACTTTCTTTCTCTTTCTCTCTCTTTAAGACACAGACATTTTTTCTAAATTCTGATTTATTTCTACAAGTCTGCTCATATCTATCTATCTATCTATCTATCTATCTATCTATCTATCTATCCCAGGCTACTTTCAAAATGCATGTTCCTATTTACTTACACTTTTTTTTCTTTCTTTCTTTTCTTTCTTTTCTTTCTTTCTTTCTTTTTTTACACAGAAATATATTTTTTCTAAATTCTGATTTATTTCTACAAGTCTGCTCATATCTATCTATCTATCTATCTATCTATCTATCTATCTATCCCAGGCTACTTTCAAAATGCATGTTCCTATTTACTTACACTTTTTCTTTCTTTCTTTCTTTCTTTCTTTCTTTCTTTCTTTCTTACACAGAAATATATTTTTTCTAAATTCTGATTTATTTCTACAAGTCTGCTCATATCTATCTATCTATCTATCTATCTTATAAGTATGTTTCCCCCAACTCTCTCTCATTTGTTTTCAATGTTGCTCATTGTCAGTTTTGATCTTTTTATTCGTATCTCTTTCTCTCTGGCTATGGTGAATAATCAATGACCCGAGAGACCTTCCAAGATCAAAGTTTTAGGGTCCAATCATCGAATACTGCTTATAGGGAGACAATCTGACTAGAACTTTTCAGCAACCCTCATATATATGATTGAAATCACACGCCCACGTACACGTATGCATAAGCGAAAAGGCATCAGCATATAAGGTAAGAAAAGGTAAATAAGTTTATATTTCCATTTTGCGAATATGATAATATGTACGTGTCAGTGTGTTTGTTTATTGCAAACGTAAACACACTTAAACAAAATTGACTCCACCTCCCATTTTGAAAAAGAGAAAATAGTGAATCAAGTCATGACTTTTTCATTTCAATGTCTATCTCTTTTGAATAATCTCGTCTGTGTCGTCATCGTCGTCGTTAGGGACAGAAATCTGATGCATCAAATGGACCACGCCTAGGTTTTTGAATCTTTTTCTACGTGCAGCTATCAAGTTCCCGCCGTCTCTTTAGATCACCAAAGCTAGAGGTGACGTCACAGCTTTCAAGCATTGTGGGTGTGGCACACATGTGAAAATTACCTAATAACAAGCAAATGCCAACTCACCTCGATACCGGTCGGACAACATAGTTTTTTTTTTTCACGAAGAATCCTTGAATGTTTCTTCTTGATTTTTCTGTCAATTTTGAAATTTTTATTTTCGTATTTGAATAAAATAAATTCTTTCTTTTTCTTTCTTTCTTTCTTTCTTTCTTTCTTTCTTTCTTTCTTTCTTTCTACGATAATTCGTTTACCTTTCGCTCAATTTGTTGGTCTGTTTGCTTGTCTATTTATTTCTTTTTCACTCTCTCATTTTCTTTCATACATTTTTCTTTCGTTCTTTCTGTCTTTCTTTTTCTCTTTCTTATTTTCTTTCTTTCTTTCTTTCTTTCTTTTTCTTTCTTTCTTTCTGCGATAATTCGTTTGTCTTTCGCTCACTTTGTTGGTCTGTTTGCTTGTCTATTTATTTCTTTTTCGTCCTCTTATTTTCTTTCTATCCTTCTTTTTCTTTCTTTCCTTCTTTTTCTTTCTTTCCTTCTTTTTCTTTTACGTTCGTGTCTTAATTGCTACTCACCATTTTTATATCTTTTTTATCATCACGATTTGCACACGATCAGCCAAGACATTTTACCGAAGTTTAAACCAAAAAAGCAAGGGAGAGAACTCGATATCTTTTTGCCACGCCCCTTTCAAAATGATTCATGACAGACCTGCGCATTGTTGACAGGAAGTAGCTATTCACTTAGTTAAAAGTGATTTATCGTGGGGAATGTACACTATTGACTTACCGCATATCTCTTCTGCTTTTTGAACTCATAGGAAAGGAATTTCCTTGCAAACTAATCCAGTAACAGAAACTTCAAATTTTGATACCTGTTCATAATGACTGTATATATACATTCCTAAACGTATGGCCTTTCTCATCTCATCTTGCCATCAACCCCCGTTCGCTTTCAGTGTCTATAATGAAACAGACTTGGATATACTAAAGCAGATGATAACATCAAATGATAAAACTGGATCTAATCCAGTGATATTTCGAAGTGGAGAAAATAGGTCCCTTCTCTTCATTGTCTATCATATATATATCAGGTTTTATGTTTGTCTATCTATCTATCTATCTATCTATCTATCTATCTATCTATCTATCTATCTATCTATCTAATTACCACCAGTTCAGACATTTACAGCTAAGACCCATTATGTCATTTATAGGATGAAGCCTCCTCATATTAGTAAGAATGAAGTATCACTGGGTTTCAAGCCCTTGCGAGAATCAGAAAAACGATCGCAAGGGCGTGAAACTCAGCGTCTCATATCAATCCAGCTATATATATATATATATATATATATATATATATATATATATATGTAAAACATGCTATATATATATATATATATATATATATATATATATATATATATATATGTATAACAAAAATAATTTAACCCAAATAAATAAATAAGTAAACAAATAAACGAGTTCCGGCAAAATACCCACCAAAATAGGCTACCCACAATGCACCACTGACCCGTATATATAAATAGCCAAAAAAAAGCCAACACTCGTGGCCTGACGACTGCGTCTAGCATGAAACAGCCTGTCGCCTCTCAGTGTTGACTTCAATGTTCACTTTTATATTTACACACGCTCTATCTCTGATATTGAGCACTTTATACCATAAATAAGTAACTAATAATAACAGAAACAAAATGTCCTTATCAACTGGCAGAATTTAGAGAATGCTATTTTCATACGGTTAACTGAAAATTACGTCAATTACTGTCACGTGTGGAGATATTGTTTTTATTGCTGTGTTGACGGATTCAACCATTTTCTTTTGATTTCTTGATACTGTTCTTTGCGTTTGTTTGGGAGTTTAGTAATTCAGAATAGAAAGGTGAAATTGGGAAAAAGCCTGGGCGTAGATTAATATTTGATTCTTCCAGTTGCTAAGGACATTTTGCTTTTGTTATTATTAGTTCCTTTTTTAAATAAATTCATTTCGTTTTTTGCCTTGAAAAAGTCCACATTGGACGAAGTGCGTCGGCAAATAGTACAGTTTTCCTATTGTCATTCATATATATATATATATATATATATATATATATATATATATATATATATATATATATATAGTGTGTGTGTGTGTCTGTAAATGATATCAAAATGTATATTATAAAGTAATAATTTATTAAAAAAGATTTGAATTAAGCAAAATTTCTATCTCGGATTGCAATAGAGATGCTATCAGTTTTATACAATATTCGGAATAGACAAAATTAGGCAACTAATAAATAAAATGTAACACGCCGTCAGAACTTAGTAGATCAATCATCACAGCGCTGCTGACCTCTGAATCCAGGTGCAGATAAATGCGTGTCCCATCAGACTAGCAGCTTAATGAGCCACATAACTAACCTTATCCGAATTATAAAAAGAACCCGTTGAAGAGTTAGATTAGAAAGAAATCAAACGGGCAATTGTTAAAGTCACTAAAACAAGAAATGAATTATTCATGATCAGAATGCTATCAAAGCGAGGTACAGAAAGATTCATGCCTCTGTTTCATAGACTATGCAAAATCATTTGAAAAGATACAACGCATGGACCTATTTGAACAGCACTGAAACTTAAATTGTTCGTGAAAGATATTAGAATAATCCAAAACGTATTCTGTGAGCAAACAACCTGCCTACAGATAGAAAATGAATCCGGTAAATTCACGAAAACGAAGAATTGACTGCTGTCTTTTTTGTGTATTTACTCTATGGGTTTGCTCATCAGATTTATATAACCTAGACAGCGCAGGGGTCATAAGATAACCGGAAGATTTTCCCAGATTTATTATTGGTGATCACAAATACAACAGTATATTATATGACACACATATTGATAACATATCGAAATAAAAGAGGAGATACTTCTGGAGCAGGTAGTAAAAGAAAGCGATAAGAAAGGACTAACTAACAATTTTAAGAAGACAGAATGCATGGTTATTATTAAACTTTTGAGCCCTGACCACCGATTTACCGGTGGTAGAGAAAAATGACGTAATGTCTAGCCACCGGTTGAACAGTGGTAAAGAAAAAATGTCTTAACGTCCAGCTACGGATTGAACGGTGGGTAAACACTTGTAACTATTATTATATCTACCGTGAAACATTACATACCAAATATTTGCGAATTTTGACTCAGGGGCTAGGGAAGAAGGGTTAAAGGTTAAAATTGTTCAGGAATGCAGGGGGTCAAAAGGTTAAGAGAGACGGTCTAAGATGCGAGTTAACAAAGTGAGATGTCAAAAAATAAGTAAATAAAGCAGAGAAATGTAAGTATCTGGGAATCGTTTTAAGAGAGGAGGAAACGTGTGACACCGAAATTCGAAGATACATTGGAAATTGAGAAAGATGGCTTCCAGCAAAAAAACAAAAACAAAAAAAAAAAAACAAATATTAAGAAATGGTAAATTTCTTTTAAAAAGCTAGAAAAACATGCTGGGATGTTATGTAATATCATTCTTTCTATGCAATAATTAATGCTGGACAATTTCCTCACAAATGATGAAAGGACTTAAAGTAACAGAGACGTACTTCTATAGAAGACCGCTATTGTGGTGTCCTCCCTCTAATGAATATATTGTGGAGTCTTCCACTTACTATAAAATTAGTAGGAAAGTAAGCCTCGGGGGAACAGTAGTATAGACTGTTCTAGTGAGGCTGTGACTGTTCGCAGCTGCTATCGAACTCTCTGCCTTTGGACCCGGTCGAGGCTGTGCCGAAGGGCAGTCTCATCCGGGACGGTTACTCTCCTACTAATTTTATAGTAAGTGGAAGAGTCCACAATAGACTCATTAGAGGGAGGACACCACAACACGCTGATGATATCCTGGCCGAAACATGTGAACATCGGTGAAGTGACAATAAAATGGAAACGACAATTTTTCTTAGGATCCGAAGGAGACAACTGAAATTTCTCGGACATATAACGAGGAAATAGGGCTTGGAAAATTTGATACTCACAGGATATACTGAAAGCAAGAGAAGTAAGGAGAATCAGCAAGTGACATAGCTAACGAGAATGTGTAACGAAAATCAAATGTAAGCTGTGTATTTTTTTAAAAGTATCGCTATTTTTTGTTTGAAAGTTAAATTTAGTGCAGTAAAACTCTCAATTCGTATAGTGAACATGGATATGTATTGCACTAGAATTTTTTGAAACATGTTAACGTTGTTGAATTCTTCACAATATTCGTATTTTTGAAGTTATCGCTAACATTTTTGTCGAGATTTCATCTAATTTTGCAAACCAATCGATGAAAGCTGATTTCTTTGGAAAAAGATTTTGAGAAAAAACTTACTTCGCGGTATAATAATTTCTTTAATTTAATTTTCTAGAACTTCATGGTAAACAATATTTTTTTAAGAAAATATCTTTTTTTCTTTTTTCTTGTTAACAGCGAAGAATAAATTCATAGGATTTCTTACTCTTGAACACGCAACATACAACTGGTCATGTGTAAATATTTCTTTCTGTAGCCAAATTCCAGCTTTTTGAAGCGTTTGTCCTTGTGATTTGTTTATCGTTCTTGAAAACGTAAGGCGAACTGAAAACTTGATTCCTGTATATAAAAAATTAAAGAAAAGATATGTAAAAAAACAATATTGCATTTTTATTAAATAAGTATTTGTTATTTTAATCATTAATTTTTTTTTTAAATAGTGGGAGTATTTTGCATGTTAAATAATAAAACTTTTAACACTTCAAAAAATACAAAAGCAAAAAAAAAAACAAACCAAAAACGAAAACTTATTGTATAAAGCAACATCCCATAATAAAAGCAATTGTACTTTGTTCCCTCTTACCTGTTTGCATTTTTCCCCAAAATGTGGTTTCGATCGATCAATGAATGGCTATTTTAGAGGGTGTGACGGACTGACTAAAGGAAGACACACAATTTTATATATAGATTCCAAAATCTAAGCAAAGTGTTAAGAAACAGATAAAAAACAAAGACAAAGGTGTTGTATTGCCATGTGATATGCATCTGCGTATACAGCAGTGGGGGGTAGACTCTACAGAAAGATACTGAGAATTTTATAGAAGGAGCGAGAGAGCATCGAGGAAGTCTTAAAGAAAATAGCAACAAAAAAAAAAAAACACACACACACACAAAACATTGCTACTCAGAGTCAGGAAGAGACAGTTGACATTTTTTTGACACATAATGAAAATGGAAGGTTTGGAAAACTTAACCCTCACAGGAAACGGGAAGTTTAACAAAAGGAGAAAAAAACGGCTAAGGAACACAAGGGATAAGGGGTTTGGGAGAGTTATGATAGCCTTTATCTTGAAGGGACGCAACAAGAAGAAGAAGAAGAAGAGGAGGAGAAGGGAGAAGAAGGAAGGAGAGGGAGAGG